TTATTATTATTTGTGTGTTTAACTTTGTTCCTGTTTGGTTTTAGGGACATTCATTGTGCCTTGAGTAGTTTGGGTTAATTGGTACACACCTGCTTTTTGTCCATAAACTGCATTTGTCCCAGTGTTCATCAAACCATTGCCAGATTACTGTAACTTCCATGAGGCATGCTAGTTTACCAATTGACTGATTTTACTTTGAGTTTTGTGCATTTTATTCCTGGTTTACTCTTGAACCTGTCTCCTGCCTGCCTGTTGAGTTGATTAAACTTTACATCCATACGGTCATTTTCAGATGGGGCAGCATATACAACCCCAATTCTAATGGAGTTGGGACGATGTGTAAAATATAAATAAAAAAAATATGATTATTTGCAAATCTTTTTCAATCTATATTCAATTGAATATACTACAAAGGGGTGAACCTCGCCCCATCCTTGCTTGTGAACGACTGAGCCTTTCATGGATGCTCCCTTTATACCCAATCTTGACAACCACCTGCTTCCGATTAACCTGTTCACCTGTGGAATGCTCCAAACAGGTGTTTTTGAGCATTCCTCAACTTTCCCAGNGTCTAGAAAAAATAACACTAAACACTAAAAAAATTTTGAAAGATGTAGAGTAGCATAATAGAAGACTAATTTTGAATACATTGTTTGAAGGTGCAACCTCTTTGAAAAAAAAAAACTATTAATTTAGAGGTACAGAATATTGTCCAAAGCTTGACACTACAAGTGAAGWCAGTGTTATTCATAAGGTTTATTTAGATGCTAAATCACTGAAAGAACACATTAAAAATCTATATTTAAATCCAGGAAACTGGAGGAAGCTGTGAATTTCTCAGCAACAAAACAGATTCATGTAGACCCAGATTCAGACTATGTACAGTATGTGCAAAACACAATGCACTTCTTTCATGCTCCCATGATTTGCTTCCAACAACACACACACATGCAAATACACATGCAGCACAAATACAAACCAAATCCCACTTTTGTTTCAATTCCTATTGTACAATTTTTAACAGTGAGTAGAACAGAGGCAAGAAAAAAAAGAAGCTCTGTGGGCCATGTTTCAATAATGAAGCAATACACGAACAAAGACACAAAGAGATGGAGGGAAGTGACAGAAAGTAGTGAATGACAGGCTTAAAGAATAAGAACGATGAACYGCAAAGGGACAAATTGAAAACGGGAATTGGAGAAAAACGAGAGGATGACGGAGGCCCGGAGAGAGAAGGTAGAGAATGACAGACTACCTAAAAAAAGGTGGACGTAAAAAGGACTGGAACAGAAATGAGAGGCAGGGAGAAAACACAAGGTTGGGTGGGTTTCTGCATTCCTCTTCCTATGATGACGGTCTCTGCTCGCTCTTTCTGCTAATCCTTCAGTTAGCATCTAAATTTCATTTTTCTTTCACTCATACACCATACATTGTTTATATCTCTTTCCAGAATTCACTCAGGGATTGTGGATGGTAATAAAGCAGTTATGTTTGAATATCCCCTAAAAGTTGCACCATGACTGCAGAGGCCCTGTTTCCACCAGTTTATACACAGAAGTATAATAGTATGGAATCATTATTATGGTCATTGCATTTGTTGATTTCATGCAATAAAAGCCTACAACATTTCAGGCTAAAGCATATTCATGATGTAAAATCTACCTCATGTAGCTTAGTTGTTGTTTTTGAGGGCCGGCAAGTGCAGCCGGTGTTCCAGTCTTTAGTCCCACAGCCACAGTTGCCGCCACAGCGTTTCACCAACAAACACCGAGGGAAGAAGACAGCATTGGTGGTCCTCAGCTCCTCTCTCAAGTTCACCGAATAGTTCCGAGGGGTGCAGCTGTACCGCTTGACATCATCAAACAGACGATTTAGATCAACTGTGAGARAGAAGAAAAATGCATTTAACTTCTACTTTTTTTAAACAAAAGGTTTTCACAATATAAGGGTATACCATTAGGGTGAATGATATTTTTTATGAAATTTCCCTTCTATTCTCTGTTCAGGTGTCCTCATATAATCTAAACCTAGTTGACTGATGCTTATGTCATAGAAAACAGAAGTCACTTCCATTGAATACCAAAGTTACTTTRGTTTTTATTGGTCATTTTATTTGGGAAATACATTCTGTAAACAAACTTTCCTCACTTTACTTCTGCTTCTGTCAAAAGTACAGGTAATTTATTTTGGTTTATTTATTTTATTTTTATTTTTGTGAATTTGCCCCATAAACAAAATCATTTTGACCCMAAAAGAGTTATTACGGACAACATATGTTACTAACTGTGTTTATTCAGGCATAAATATATTACTGACAGCTTAGAATCAAAGTTACCTTTAAGCTACGTAGTTTGAAGCAACAGACAAAAACAAAACAAAACAAAACAAACAAACAAACAAAAAAAAAAAACAAAAAAGATTGTTCCTCCAGCATACAGTATTTCAGTAAAAGAAAGAGAAAATATGACATTGTGAAGACATACTATAACCTCTACACGAACCACATGAAAATGGTTAGGAGAGGCAAGAAGACATTGCTGTGAGGACAAATACAGTAACAATTKGCTAAAGATGGTCTGGTGAGTGGAAGAAAGACGAGACACAAAAAGGACAGAAAGAGACAGAAGAAAGAGGAGTTAATTGATTGAAGATCAATATAATGATCCCATTTTTCCCCTTCTTTTTTCCTTGTCATCAGTCTGGAGTAAAATGGCCTCATTTGTCTGTAGAAAACCTTCTGCAATGGCATATTTCAGGTGTGCTGAATCCATTTAATGCAGTGATAAAAAATGTAGGTTTWAAAAAAAGGACAAAAAAATTGGAGATAACATAAAAATATACAACTTGTCAATATGTTGGAGAGCTAATGTTAGCAAACACTGACTGAGTGACTTGCTTTGTTTCCAATATTTATTTAGTCGTCTTGTGAGCAAAATAAGAGTTATAATTTCAGATGACATTTAAGAAAAAACGAGATGGATAGAAAGTAATAAAGAATCTGGACTGTCCTATTCTATCCTATCTGTGTATTTCTTAAAAAAATATTAATAATCTGTGTGCTTAATGTCTGCAAATAATTAAATATATCTAAAAGAACATAAGAGACAAAAATTTAAAAAAGGAACAGAAGAACAACATTTAGTGAAGAGTTGAAACCATAAAAGTCAACAATTAAATGGTAACGGGCTAACAAGAGCATTGTTTGATTAACTCTGCTAAGAATATTCAAGCTGAAGTATCATAATTATTACTGCATGTCTCACACATTGTACCAAACATTTAAAATACATCRCAATTCTGATATATCACAATGACTTACTTTTCTTTAGAATTACTTGAAGCTGTTAAATGGTTTGACTATTCAAATAAAGCAAGGCTGTAAGCGTTATGTTTGAGTCATTTTAAAAGACAAAAGTTTTAGAAAAAAATGTAGACACATCATTCAAACGAGCAGAGAAGTTTTAAGGGTTTAATCAACAATAAGAAWAAAACACTAAAAGGAAGAAAATGGGGGAAAATTGAAAGTAAAAAAACATATGTTGGCAGCGATTACACCACTGTTGCACTCAATGGAACAGACATTGCTTTAAGAAATTGTACAGAAGTATTGCAATGTTTGTAACTTTGTGTTTTACCTATCATTGCGCTTTGCAACAGCATTTCAAAGAAAATGACCTTCTGTGCATAAAGGGACGAGTATTACATGGTTTTTACTCTGGATATTGACGCGGTGGGTTTGCCCTGGGAGCAACCCTTGAGAATCCATAGCAGAAAGAGTAGAAGAAGGTAAATCATCAAAGCTTTACACACATTATCTCACAGTGCCAAAGCAAATTTATCTCAGCCTTGTGTGTGAGAGAGACTAAAAGTTGGGATATTTATGAAGAAAAGCTCAAGGGGAAAGCGTTGGAAATCAGGTGCTTTAAGGCTTTGAACTGATGTAACGACGCRTTGAGGTTAATGATTATTCTTGTAATGATTTCCAAAAGTTCACAGTTATTTTTGAGCACCAGGGCAGGCACCCACTGCAGAGGCCACATTAGAAAAGGATGGCTGAACAACCTTTTAGCAAAAGCAACATGACTAGAAGAAACTGCTGATGCATTCACTTTTATGGTAGAATGCAAGCATCCTATGTCCAACAGAAAGAAGGAGAAGAGAGAGACTGAAGTAGAAGAAGCACTAAACTAATCAAAGACAATACTGGCTCGGCGCTCGCACCCCACAAGCCTTACCATTTAGGCAATGATGATTGACTGAGCCTTTTCACTCAGAACAGTCAGCACCACGGGGAGAAACAATCAACACTCCAAAGGCATTCAGGGATCAAATCATAAGTGGCTATCCAAGTCCAGGCATCTGCTCCCTGCGCTGTTCACAAATGGATTTCCTTTAGTGTTTCATGGCTTTGTTCCCATCGAGCAGTGGCCGCATTGACAGTATGACTCTAATCGGACCCAGCCAAAGTTCTGTACACCCTGGGTGGACTGAAAGAAAGTCGAAGTCTTTCTATTTGCATGGCCTTGTCTATAGCCAGTACAAAGTGAAGTTGGCTACTTCATTATGTTTTCAAGAAAAGGTCCAGCAATGAGGCAATGTGAGGATGGATTTTTCTTTCAGAAAAACAGAAGACACTAAGTTTAAACAAAATTCATTTATACAATTGACAAATGTTATTTCCTTAGGTTATCACTAAGTACAACAGTTTTTTTTCTGTAACCCATTATAACGCTAATAGACTTGTCATAGTTAATATTTGTGGTAAACTACATCAATGCATCTTTAAGATTTGGTAGTCATTTAGTTCAGCTAATCAGGCTGGTGAAACGCTCCCACACCACATCACCCATTCATTCAAATCAGGTGTGTTGGAGCACATAAACCTAAAACATGCAGGATTGCAGCCCTCAAGGACCAGAATTGGACATCTCTGTCTTAAGATCAATTTCGAGCTACCAATTAACCAAACATACACGGGAAACCAGAGTACCCAGACAGAATAAGTTCAGGGAGAATGTTTCTAATCTGATTGAACTGTGAGTGTGTGTGTAGTTTAAGTGAAGGTTTTATTGAGTGACCGTGACGACACAGGTGACACAGCACATGGGTGTTTATGGTGTGAGCACTGGCTTGCTTTTGTTGGTGTGGGAGCTAGTGTCTGTTTGATGTAGTGTAAGTTCAGGAATTCAGTGATGTGTAACCTTGTCAGGGTGAGTGTGTGAGAGGGGAAAGAGACAGAGACATAAAGTGCAAGCAAGACTGCAGGAACTGTCACTCAAAGACAGCAGCAGGGAAAAAAAATGCGGGGAGTGTATGTGAGAAAATTAAAAAAAGAGAGAATAGTTTAAGCTGCACTGTGCATCACAAGTACTCCCGTGCAATGCTGTGGCTTCATTTGAACTCATTTGTGTTTGAGGGCGAATGTGCGGACATCATACATCCCAATTAATATTATCATCAGGCAAGCTTTCCTTACAAAAACAAGGATGGGTATGGGCTTGTGTGTGTCCTAATGAAAACAAAGCTAAGCTGCTGACTGTGGCAGATTTCTGCACCACTACACAGGTTGAATTTCCAATTATAGAGTGTTACATTGGTGTGCTAAAGACCTGTGGTGCCTATAGCCAGCTTTAAGTAGCCCTGCAAAAGCTCCAAACTCCCTGCATCCAAAAGCAGAGCACACACATAAGCACTATTAAATACAAATAGATTTGCTGTCAAACACAAATATTTTCTAAGGAACAGAGTATCTTTCAGTAAGACAAACAATACAGGAGAAGAGAAAGGTCTGCTGCAGGCTGATAGGCACATACAGACATTCTCTAATATGTGTTCATGGTAACTTTATAATATATTCAAAATGTGCTCTCCCTCTCCTGAGAACAGAATCTATAGCTTYACTATTTCCAGGCTCGTTTGTTGATTAAGTTACATTTTCAGGYTATGTTTCTGTAGACCATTTTTTCCCCACGTAATGATTTTCTGTACTTAAGAAATAAAGTGAGCTCTTGAACAAAATCACCAGAATCATGGTTTTGTTTCTTTCTTTTTTTCTGTTTTCATTCCGTTTTTTAATCAAATGTTAAGATGCCTCATATTTTCTAAAAAAAGTTGACTGGATTTTTCTACCTGGATTATTGGGATGCATCAGGACATGCCTCATCTAACAGTTTTCATGTCTTCCTGAATGTAATATTAAGGGTGTATAACATTCATCCTTCTATTATGCCACCGCTTCCCTTGCTGCCTTTTTGTCGTACTGCACCGGGACATAAAGCTTCCCCGGCTAATTTCTTACAAATTACTGTGTCACAGACTGTGTGACCTCTGTGATGCTTCACCACTGAGCTTTATAAATAGCTCTGTCGATGAGAATACTGTAAATCTACTGCTGTGTGCTTCTGTCTCTGTGAGCACAAGGTGTCATGCTCTCATACAGCTCTCATACTGCAGAGGTTTTAGAAATGCAGCAAAGATTTTTTTATGACATCAAAACTGTTGTAGATTTTTGAGACTGTTCATTGCTACATGTACTGTTGTTTGTGTTTTTCTTTATTTATGGTTTCCTTGGTTTAATTGCCATTTAGTAAACTTTATATATAAGGTTTCAGTTTTATTTTGGTGGTTGTTCCTGTTTGTTGCTGCCTGTTTTACTTCTTCTGTTTGTGTGCCTCAGGCTGACACTGACAGGTGATGTGATGCACACATCTAACATTATAGTTTTGAAAATATATTAGCAAATTTTCAGCTGGCCATGATTTATTTAATTACAAGTAGCTAAATACATAGAAATGCAAGTACAGTTAGGTCCATATATTTGGACACTGACACAAATTTTGTCTTTTTACCTGTTTACTGAAACATAGTCAAGTTATAGTTATATTATGCACATGGACATAAAGTCCAGACATTCAGCTTTCATTTGAAGGTATCCACATTAAAATTGGATGAAGAGTTTAGGAGTTTCAGCTCCTTAACACGTGCCACCCAAAAGTAATTGGACAATTGACTCCAAGGCTATTTTATAGGCAGGTGTGGACAATCCCTTCATTATGTCATTCTCAATTAAACAGATAAAAAGCCTGGAGTTGATTTGAGGTGTGGTGCTTGAATTTGGAAGGTTTTGCTGTGAAGTAAACATGCGGTCAAAGGAGCTTTCCATGCAGGTGAAACAAGCCAACCCATCCGAGAAATTGCTACAATATTAGGAGTGGMAAAATCTACAGTTTGGTACATCCTGAGAAAGAAAGAAAGCACTGGTGAACTCATCAATGCAAAAAGACCTGGGCGCCCAYGGAAGACAACAGTGGTGGATGATGGCAGAAWAATCTSMATGRTGAAGAGAAACCCCTTCACAACAGCCAACCAAGTGAACAACACTCTCCAGGAGGTAGAAGTATCAATATCCAAATCTTGTTTTTAAATCTTTCAACAGCAGATATTTATTCCTGATAGATTAAAGGTGTAATTAATGMTGTTAATGCTGACGTCAGCAGGACGTTCTGAGGTTCTGACCGGGTTCTGACCAGAACCTACMCGGTTCCAGAGTCTGGCAGTCGAGCGGGTCGTGAGGCAGACAGACRGTGGCGGTGCTGTAGATGGTGCTCATCTCAYTCATCACATMATTCAGATGTGCAGCTTTATCTGGACTCAGAGCCCCGGAGCCTTTGTCCTGTAAGGAGATGAGCTGAAACTTGATGTTCGGGTCGTTTATGGTATCTGATCGATGGGATATTTTCTGGACTCCYCCGACCCCTGGCTGTAGAACGAGCTCCAGATTTCTCCTTGTTCCGACAGTTTGTCGGAGTTCTCCTAGGTGATGTCCGTGTTTTAGGCCCACGAGGCCAGAGAGTACTGGTACACCTTTGAGGTGGCGTCCCGGTCGAACTTCTCCAGAAAGTCCCGGGTCTCGGCCTCCAGGTCCGCAGCTCCATCAGCTGTTCTGCTGTCCAATAACTGTAGCGTCTGCAGCTGGACCCTCCTCCTGCAGCTGGACCCTCCTGCAGCTGGACCCTC